TCAGGGATCAACTGAGACTATCACTGAATCCGAGAGCACTTCGGAGACCATCGAGGAATCAGAGAAACCCATTGAAGAGGTCGTAAGTCAGGGATCTACCGAGTCTATCACTGAATCTGAGAGCACTCCCGAGACCATCGAGGAATCAGAGAAACCCATCGAAGAGGTCGTGAATCAAGGATCAACTGAGACTATCACCGAATCTGAGAGCACTTCCGAGACCATCGAGGAATCAGAGAAACCCATTGAAGAGGTCGTAAGTCAGGGATCTACCGAGTCTATCACTGAATCTGAGAGCACTTCCGAGACCATCGAGGAATCAGAGAAACCCATCGAAGAGGTCGTGAATCAAGGATCAACTGAGACTATCACCGAATCTGAGAGCACTTCCCAGACCATCGAAACAAAAGTTTCAGAATCCACTCTTCAGACAATAGAGAAATCTAAAGTAACAGGAACCATTGGCTTAACTCAGAGTACAGTCAACACAGAATCTAGTATTCAAACCACAGAAGAATCCAAAGAAACTATTATTGAAATTGTTGGCGAAGAATCGACCACAGAATCGGGTTTATTTCAAACTACTTTCCAAAATATTTTAAATATGTTCTCATTTAAAACTACTCCATTATCACATGAAATTCCTGATGAATCTTCTGAAGTTGGGTCCACGACCTCAACAGATATTTCTCAAGAACTCCCAGAAATTGCTAATGAATCAGAAGTTATGGCACATAATATATCGTCACAAATATCATCATTTCCACAAGAATTGCAGGAAATTCCCATCGAATCAGATGTTACCGTCAATAATGAGTCAATACAATTACCAGGATCAAATGAATTATCTGACGAATCATTTATAATCGAAAATAACGATTCCTCGTATACTTCAGAAAATCCACAAGAATTGCCGCAACAATCCGATGCCATCGAAAATAACGATTCTATTCAATCATCTGATTCTTCACAAGAACTGCCAGAATTTCCCACAGACACAGATGTTGTCGACGATAATGAGTACACACATACTTCAGACATAGTGACAGAACAACATGAAACTGATTTTGATGGTTCACAACAGGATAACAATGAAATCATACAAACATCTCATAATACCGAAGAGTTTGATGTCCAACCCATTGCAGATAATGAGTCTATTGAGACAATTACTGAAGTGTCTACTGAACAAGAGCTGGATATTATAAAAGATGATATACAAGACACTTCTGAAGCACAAGAATCAGATGCAAAGGAAACCATTGAAAATGATTTGATAGAACCAATTGAAGAGCATTTGGACGAAACGGAAACAAATGAATCCATAGAAACTGCCACCGAATCAGTTATAGATGTGACCACTGATTACGATATCACTGGATCAGTTATAGATGTGACCAATGATTACGATATAATGGAGTCTTCCACTGATTTATCGGAAGATTTGCCTAAAGAAGTCGATATTGAAGACAATGAGTCCACAATATCACCAGAACTTGATTCACATGACATTCCCGAGAAGACAGATATTATAGAAGACAATGAGTCCATAAATTCCGATCAAATATCTGCAGATCAACAAGAATTAGATATTAATGTTTCACAACAAGATAGCAATGAAGTCATACAAACATCTAATAATAATGAAGATGTATCTCAAGAAAATAATGCTGGATCTGATTCTGACAATGAGTCCATTCAGACCATATCTGATGAATCAGAAGTAATTTCACAAAATGAAGATATTATTAAAGAGAACTCAATACAAGACTCATTTGAAACATATGTCGAAGACATGCCTCAGAAATCAGATATTGAGGAAATCACTGACAATGAATCCATACAATTATCTGAGGAACCACTAGAAGAGTTGAATATTAATCAATCAATTGAAACTTCCTCTGAGACTAATATAGGATTGGCCACCGATTATGATCAAATGGAGTCATCTACAGATATATCGTCTGATTTACCACAAGAAGTTGAGATCATTGAAGAGAATGAGTCCACAGAAACACCAGAAGAATCGCAAACATCTGTAACCGAAACTATTGATAATGAAATAGAAATGGTTGAGATATCAACTGAAACATCAAATAATGAGCTTCAAGAGGGTGAGGGTATTACCATTGAAAGCATTGCAAACCCTTCTGATTCTTCTGAAGAGATAATTGAAGACATTGAGAGCAACGATAATAATAACAGTAATTCCGTTGAATTATCGGAAATACCTGAACAACAATCTCAACCAACGGATGACGAGTTGATCACAAATTCAGACGATATCGAGACCTCCTCTCAATCATATGAAGAACAACCACAAGAGCCGAATGAGGAGCCAGGCGTTGACAATGATTTGATTGAGACAGTGACAGAAACATCTAATGAATATTTGCCAGAAGTGGAAGTAATAGGAGATAATGAAGTGATTGAAAACTCTCCATCAATTGAATCACAAGAAGCAGACGTGGAGTTCGTTCCCAATAATGAATCAGAGATTATATCCAATGAAGGTTCAGAAGAACAACAGACATCCGATGTCGTCGGAGATGAATCCATACAGACATCAGAATCACTTCAAGAAAATCCTGAACTTCCGTCCGAACCACAAGTTATTGATGAAAATGATTCAACAAATACAGACGACTCTTCTCAAGAATTGCCTCAACATCCGGAAGATATAGAAAATAATGAGTCCTCACATACTTCTGAATCTGATATAGAAGTGGCTGCAGATTCTGATCAGACAGAGTCGTCCACAGATATATCAGCAGATCTACCACAAGAAGTTGAGGTTTCCGTTGAAGAGAATGATTCTACAGAAGCACCGGTAGATGAATCACAAGCAACTCTTAATGAAGACATAGAATTGGTTGAGACCTCAACAGAAATACAGTCACAAAATGAAGAGGTAATTACTGGTGAAAACATTGAAACCCCTTCTGATTCTTCTGAAGACCTAAATCAAGACATTGAAAGCAATGATAATAATAATCATAATTTAGTCGAAACATCTGAAATATCCGAAGAACAATCAAATGATGATTTGATACAAACATCGACTGAGACTTTAGAAGAATTATCACCAGAAGTAGATATCGCAGAAAATAATGAAATGGTAGAAAATCCTCCATTAAATGAAATATCCGAAGACTCTGGCGTCGAATTGGTTCCCAATAATGACTCAATTCATGCATCAAGTGATGGCTCAGAACAACAACAAGATATAGAAATATTAGACAATCAATCGATTGAAACGGATGTTGAGACACAAGACAATGGTAGAGAGTCTGAAAACGAAAAATCTGATTCCGATGCAAATGAAAACAATGTCTTCATTGAAAGCTCTTCAGAATTACCACAAGTAGTCGACGCGGAGTTGGATTCAGATAATTCTGTAGAAACATCGACACAAATAGTAGTGGACTTACCACAAGAAATTGAAGAGATAAAAGATAGTGACTTAATAGAAACCTCCTCTCAATCATCAGAACTATTACCACAAGAACCGGATAGTGAATCCAATATAGACTACGATTCCATACAAACATCACAATTATCTGAAGATCAATCACAAGAACTGGGAACAGATAATGATTCAGAACTTTCGTCAAATTCAGAGGCAATCTCTTCAAAAATATTTTCTCCAAAATTGAGAAAATTTAAATCGAGAATATTCGTGTGATTTTAAAATATAACTATTACTTGCTTTATAATTAGTTTGAATTTCAGAACTAATGAACATTATATATATTTAAAACATTCATTAAATTATATCTAATTTAATATTTATCTAGTATCTTTTGTTTGAATTACTATAAAATTATTTAATTATTTTTATTTAAAATAAGTTTTTTGTTTTAACTACATAATAAATCTATTTATTGTTTAAAAGTTTGAAGTCTTATTAATTATATTCGATATATTGTATGAGTACATAATAAATTAGTTATGAATTGAATAATAATTATATTGATGTGTTAATTAAGTTTCCTAATGTGGGCTTTGAGTGCAATTTGCTTCAAGTGGTGTTCCATTGATTTACCAGTAGTTTCCAACATCTGTGCAAATATACCATCTTTTTCTTGAATCAGACTATTGGGTGAATCAAACTGAGCGATGTGTCCGGCGTCTAAGACTAACACTTTGTCGTAATCCATGATTGTATGCAATCTGTGCGCTATTGTCAATACAGTACAGTCAGTGAATTCATTTCGTATCGTATCCTGAATTAAGGCATCAGTCCTACAAACAAAGACAAAATGATCTCATTATTCAATTCAAATCATTTCATAGATATAAACATCAGATTAGGAGACATACCGGGGGTCGACATTAGCAGTAGCCTCGTCTAAAACTAGGATTTTATTATTCCTGAGTATAGCTCTGGCCAGACATATGAGTTGCTTTTGTCCGACACTAAAACTACCGCCGCTTTCAGAGATGAGTTGATCCAACTTTTGTGGGAAAGCATTGATTGTGGACTTGAGCTGCACTTTACCCAACACTTCCCAAATCAAATCGTCGGGACAATCGCCAAATGGGTCGAGATTTTTGCGAACCGTTTCGGTGAAAAGAATTGGTTCCTGAGGTATAATCGATATATTTTTGCGCAAATATGATAAACTAATGGATGAGGTGTCGATGCCATCGATTTCTATAACACCTGAGGGAGGGGTCATTCTAAAGAGGGTTGCGATTATGGATGACTTGCCAGCGCCAGTTCGGCCTACTATTCCCACGGTTTCGCCGCCCTTTATGACTAAATTTAAGTTCTTTAATACCGGAGAATCACTTCCTTCGTAATGAAGGCACACGTCTTTCATCACAATTTGTCCAAACTTTGGCCACTCTTTGGTTAGAAATTATAAATTTAATAAACATTTTTAAAATATAAACAAAAGACAACAAACCTGTCGGGGGTTTGACTTCACTTTCGTGTTCTCTGTCTATTTGACTCAACTCGGAAACCCTCTCAACGGAAGTCATTTGTGTCTCGACTTCGGCGCTCTGACGGATACCCCATTGAAAACTTCCCGTCAATCCAATGACTTGAGAGAGGGTTAGTCCGATAGCACTGCCGCTCTGGCCGTCCAGGTTTGAGACGAGAGACGCTGTGATGGCGATCGTGTATATGAGACACATCTCGTCCAAAACGATTCCGAACCAACGCGTGCACGTCATGAACATGAAGTAAGTGGACGTATGCTTGTCTTGAAGGACATCATATTTCTTGGAAAACTCATTTTCGGCACCAAATGAGCGAATTGTAGTCAAACCGGATAGAGTTGAGGCTAAATGACTGAATATTGGAGACCTGGCAGTCCCTTCAACTTTCTTAAGTCTCCGAAGTGTTCCCAAAGCAAAGTGTCGGACGAGTACTAGGAATACGAGTAGTGCGAGGGTTGGGATGACCACCCAGTAGTTGATGAAAATACACAAAACTAAAATAGCCATACAGTCGATCAGTATCTCTACGGCGTCGAAGGCTGTCGGCGGCAGTAAGTCGTCGATAATTCCTATCATTTCAGTAATCAATTAAAACTTTTATTTTTCTGCGTTTAAAAACTCAAAATCAATTTTCATACCTAAATCACGAGAGACTCGATTGAGAATCATTCCGATCGGGTATTTATCAAAGAAAGCTATCGGCGCTCTTATGACAGACGCCAACAGTTTGTTGTGAAGTTTCACTGAAGATCGCATACAAGTCGTGAAGAATGTAACGGTTCTGACCACTGAAAAGACGAAGAGTACGGCCACGAGAGAACTATAGATAATGATGTTGTCGTTTTCCTCATCGGTAATCATCCAGCTCTTTTCAGTTGTCTTATTTGTGCCTTTATTTAGATTCGTGTTTTCATGAAAGTTAGTCCACTGCGAGAGCCAGTAATCACATCCAGTGAATATGATTTGAGTCAATATGTTGGACAATACGAGTGCCGGCAATAGTATTATTCCGGCGCCGGCTCTCAAATAAGTCCAGTAAATCTTTGCAGACGTCCCGCCGTCTCTGTTAGCTTCGGATGTATATTCCTCGTTATCTCGAGTGGTACCCGATTCCTGACCTTTCAGTTCTTCGACAGCTTCGTCACCAAAAGAGTGAAGGGATGATACGGTTGAGAGACGTCCGCCAAACATCTCAGCCACTGATGTCGTCCGACGCCTTAATTCTGAGACATTCTGTTTGGGATCTTCTTCACGAAGAAGTTCTGAATCTCCGGCGTATTTGATTAAATCGATACCTATTTAATACCTAGATATTAATCAATTTGTTTGTTAATATAAGCAAAGAAGTGAACCTTCTTTGAGAAGTTGAGTATAGCTTCCCATCGCTAAACAGTTTCCGTCATTCAAGACAATGATCTGATCCGCGGCTTTAATGAACTGCAACTGATGTGTCACTAAAATAACACAATTCCTCTTCAGGTATCCTTTTATGCATTTCTCAAAGATATGTTTAGCCACAGCCGAGTCCACAGCAGATAACGGGTCGTCCAATAAATAACANTAGTCGAAACATCTGAAATATCCGAAGAACAATCAAATGATGATTTGATACAAACATCGACTGAGACTTTAGAAGAATTATCACCAGAAGTAGATATCGTAGAAAATAATGAAATAGTAGAAAATTCGCCATTAAATGAAATATCCGAAGACTCTGGCATCGAATTGGTTCCCAATAATGACTCAATTCATGCATCAAGTGATGGCTCAGAACAACAACAAGATATAGAAATATTAGACAATCAATCGATTGAAACGGATGTTGAGACACAAGACATTGGTAGAGAGTCTGAAAACGAAAAATCTGATTCCGATGCAAATGAAAACAATGTCTTCATTGAAAGCTCTTCAGAATTACCACAAGTAGTCGACGCGGAGTTGGATTCAGATAATTCTGTAGAAACATCGACACAAATAGTAGTGGACTTACCACAAGAAATTGAAGAGATAAAAGATAGTGACTTAATAGAAACCTCCTCTCAATCATCAGAACTATTACCACAAGAACCGGATAGTGAATCCAATATAGACTACGATTCCATACAAACATCACAATTATCTGAAGATCAATCACAAGAACTGGGAACAGATAATGATTCAGAACTTTCGTCAAATTCAGAGGCAATCTCTTCAAAAATATTTTCTCCAAAATTGAGAAAATTTAAATCAAGAATATTCGTGTGATTTTAAAATATAACTATTACTCGCTTCATAATTAGTTTGAATTTGAGAACTAATGAACATTACATATATTTAAAATATTAATTAAATTATATCTAATTTAATATTTATCTAGTATCTGTTGCTTGAATTACTATAAAATTATTTAATTATTTTTATTTAAAATGAGTTTTTTGTTTTAACTACATAATAAATCTATTTATTGTTTAAAAGTTTGAAGTCTTATTAATTATATTCGATATATTGTATGAGTACATAATAAATTAGTTATGAATTGAATAATAATTATATTTAAATGTTAATTAAGTTTCCTAATGTGGGCTTTAAGTGCAATTTGCTTCAAGTGGTGTTCCATTGATTTACCAGTAGTTTCCAACATCTGTGCAAATATACCATCTTTTTCTTGAATCAGACTATTGGGTGAATCAAACTGAGCGATGTGTCCGGCGTCTA